ACTCGAAAGGCCCGAGCTGATCAGGAATCAAGTAACACGGATCAAATTACAAACGATGAATTTTCTTTTTTTTTTTTATTTTTTATTTTTGTAGGGTGGTTCGGGATTCTATGCTACCTGGACTCGGATATGGGTGGCGTATCGGGTGTGGAGATATGAGCGTCCGACTCGTCAATAGTTTAGAAATCTTGAACATTTTAGGCTAAAATGCCACACCCGACACTCATACCCACACCAGTGTCGACACAACATGACACGGGTATTCTTCCTAAATAGAAGAGTCCGGGTAACATAGTCGGGATTCGCCAAGAATATAGTCTTCTCAGACATAACCTTCGTGGAAGCTAATAACCCGGTTATCATCGACCAATTCTACTGCCCTCACTTGATATGCAGCAAGAAAGTAAGCAATTTTCATCATCATAACATAATATTATTCCCATTTCAAACACTTCAAACTACCGAATAAAATAAATTGTGCTCTGCTCATCCTTTTTTTCGTACCAGGCATCAGCTGTCCAGGTCAGCGATGTGACATTCTCAGGGCTACACGGGACATCGTCATGCAAAAATGCGACCGTTAACTTGAGCTGTAGTGAGACAGTTCCTTGCAATAATATCGTGCTTGATGACGTGGATATTGAGTCGGCTTTAGATCAAAATTCGGCATCTGCGCACTGCGTTAATGCCCACGGGCGGGCAAATACTCAGAGCCCAGTTGTCAATTGTCTGAAAAAAAACTTAGAAAGATAATAGATAGAACTTGGTGCTTGTTAATGTTATCTATCTATCACATATATAGTAGGCTTTGTAACATACAGATGATGTAATTTTGTCGTGGTGTTTTTTCTCGACGGTGGCGTGTTTCGTTTCCCGAATGGTACCCAAGCTCACTTTGTGAGTTGTGAGGATATGAATGGCAAATGAAATTTACTAGGAATATTATGAGATGCACAGCACAGTTAAATTCACTGATTCCTCCTGTAGACGACTTCATTGTCTACAAGACATTATGATGGATGTGATTTATTCATTTTATTTGTTCATTTTTCCATGAAATATGTAGCGATTAATTGTGCCTTTTCGAATCCATGTTTTGTCCAGATCGGTAAACTGTGTAGTGGAATTTTACATGTCCAAAAGAAAGTTGAACAACTTGCTCGACGATTCCTGTTAAGTCCCTACAAAGTAAGTTTCGATGCTTTTTCTATATTTGTAATGTTGTAATAAATGGAAAACAAGGTTAATTACTCCGGTTCACACTCGGTCGGGCTTGATGTCAGTTGAACAAAGGGGTAAATTCGTCTTCACTACAAGTTTATATAGAATTCATCTAATTTTCTCTGCTGGGGCTTTACGTTTTTTTTGCCTTCATTGGTGTTAGATTGGGGCTTCTGAGTGGTGGGATGATTTGAAGAAGCGGGTTTGGAGTGATTTTGCTTCTTTTATCTCTTGGATGAATTGTTTAGTTCTTAATTCTGTTCTATTGGAACATTTTGTTTTTATCAATTTCTACCTGATGAAACGAAATAATATCGATCGATGAAAATGTTTGTTTCTGAGTATAGGTGAATTGAATGTAGTTATTACATATTGTATTTCGAACTCACTTTGTCCCACCACGTTTGTCCTAAGCCGTCGATTAGGCCTGCTCGGTTTTCATCAACCGTGAGCCCATCAATGCCGATAAAGTCGAGCCACTCTGTTTCTGTTTTTCTCCATGCAGATTTTGGAGGGGCAATAATGTTGAGATTCAATAGTTATTACACTGTTTATTAATCACACATATACATGAGATGTTAATGAAATTTTAAACAATCAGGTGTCCATTGCCCGTTGCAATTCAAGATGGAACAGGAAATATATTCCATTTATTGAAATGTATGTACTACTGTCTTTAACTTACAGTTTTTTGCACCTTGATAGCATTCATATATGAGCCTGCATAAACTTGTTAATTACCCCGTGAAAGATCAAATTAAAGCAAAACAAGAAACAATGAATTC